AAGCTCTGAACTGTAAGCCTGTCCCAGTTAAATGCTTTCCTTTATAAGAGTTGCTATGGTCATGGTGTCTCTTCACAGCAATAGAAACCCTCAATAAAACAATAGTCATCTTATATGGTTTGAGAGTCCTGTAGGAGACTCACCCTTGGGCACATCTGAGAAGGTGTTTCCAGAGATGTTTAACTGAAGAGGGAAGACTTTCCTTGAATTTGGGCTGCACTAGCCCCATGACAACCTCCCCCTCCTCCCAGAGGGTGAGCACTGAACTGGATGAAAGGGGAAACAAGGGGAAATCAGCTGGGGGCCAGCATTCACCCCTTTTTACTTCCTAATTGTGTGAGCAATGTGACTAGACATCGCATGCTCCTCCTGCAGTGCCTTCTCTGACATGATAGACTGTACTGCAGACTGTGAACCAAAACAAACCCTTCCTTAAGTTGTCCTTGCCTGGCGTTTCGCCATAGCAACAAGAGAAGTAACTAATCCAATAGAGCCTCAGTTATACATGGGGAGGGAATAAGCTTAATCTCAAAGGTCTTACATGCTTTGGTTTCAAGCATAATTTGTTATTACTTTAGCATTCTTATTTGAAATAGCACTATAAAAAAGAAATATTATTATCTCTATGTAGGTGTGCTGGCTGGTTTTGTCAGCTTGACACAAATTTAGATGTGTCTAGAAAGAGGGAATCTTTTTTTTTCACATCAATTGTTTATATTTATTATAGTAAATAGTATAATAAAATATAAAAATATGAAATATGTAAATGCAAGAACAAAGATGATGAGTATTATAATAATATTAAAATAACTGTTATAACAAAATAATTATAATTTATATTCCTGAATTCACTGTAAACTTTGTTTACTTATTTCTTTTTTTTTGTAATTTTTTTTCTTTTTCTTTTTATTAATATTTTTTTCCATTTTAAATTTAGATAAGAAACAAGGTTGCTTCACAAGTCAGTACGAGGTCCCTCTCCCTTTCCCTCCCCTCCTCCCGTGCCCTCCCCCCATCCCCCCCCCGTTATCCCCTCATTCCCCCAGGGAGGGTGAGGCCCTCCATGGGGGTGTCCATAGTCTGTCATTTCAGTAATTAATTGTATACTATGAGTTCTTTGTCCATAGAACTGTTTAAAAAGGGTTAGGTGTTTTATATTTTTAGCTCTAACACCAAGTCTGTCACATAATTTCTGGACATTTAGTTCATGCTGTAGAGACTATACAAATAGTGGGTTTGCTGTACTATTGCCTTTAGCAGCCCAGTCTCAACACGTCTATTAGGCCTAGGTCCTTATGACCTCTGGTTTTCCCTGCCATGCCTATTACACAGCTTGAATTAAGAATACTAAGCAGAACTCAATGGTCTCTGGCTTCAGGTAGCCAATGTTCCTTCCACAAATAGGTATCTTCACTATGTAAAACAGGGTAGCCTCAAACTCATAGAGATCTGCTTGCTTCTGCCTCTGAGTGCTGGGATTAAAGGTATATACCATTAAGCCTGCCTTAATATTGTTTTTCTAAATGGTCATGTTGTCAAACTACCTTCTAAAGATGTATGTTTCATCCACAGATCAGTGCTGCTTCCAACCTTGGTCAGAGAAATAGTGGCTAATGCAGAGACCCATTTCTGAGTAAAGTGCTGAAAATGAATAACTATGAGTGCTCATCTGTGGATGAGACATCTGTATCAAACCCCATTCCTACCCCAAGGCTCCGAGAACACTGAAGAGGAGGCAGGAGGATTGTAAGAGCTGGAGCAGTGCCGGAAAATGCTTTCCTCTGGACCTGTGTGGTTGATGCACACAGGGACTAACAGCAGAATCACTTACCTCCATGAGATCTGCATATGATCAAGTCAGTTATTCCAGCATGGAGGGAGAAGGACCTTCTGAGGCCCCATTCTTATTGGCAATTGAGGTGGGAAAGTAATTCTGCTTTAGGAATGTGACCACTGGTAGGTTCTCCATGCCGCAGTGGATTATGTCATGCTCATGGGCATGTGGGTAGCACTAACTGAACTCAGTGTGTTAAAATAATTAATTATAAAAGAATAACATGAAGTTGGGAAGATGTGAGAGGCAGTCCCTGGAGGAATTGTGCGTGGGAGTGAGGGGTAGATGAGATTAAGATATGTTTTATACATGTGTGAAAATTCTGAGAATAAACACAAATTAGTAAAAAAAAGAAAACAAGGGCTGGAGGGATGATTTGGATGTTAAGAGTGTTAGTTACACTTCCAGAGAACCAGTGTTCAATTCACAGTGCCCACATAGTGGCTCGCAGAAATTTGTAATCCCAGTCCCAAGGGTATTTGATGATGGGGGATGCCCTTCTGTATACATATTTTTCTTATTGGTTGATGAAAAAAGTACTGTTTGGCCAATAGCCAATAGAGGCAGGAAGATGGTGAGGGGCTAGGAGATGAGGAGAATTCTGGGGAAGGTAGGCAGAGAGGCGTGGAAAGAAGAAATGCCATGTAGCAGAGGAAGGAGTGACAGGTCCGGACCCTTCTCCAGTAAGAAAAGACCACATGGAAATACTTAGGTTAATAGAAATGGGTTGATAATTAAGATAGAGCTAGCCAATAAGAAGTCCTATCCATCGTCCAACAGTTTTATAATTATTATAGAATCTGTGTGTTCATTTGGGGATGGAGCAGGGCAGCGGGACCTGGTAGGACAAGAAACCACAGCTACAATTTAATGTCCTTTTCTGGCTTCCTGGGACACTTTGTGAACATGGCACACAGATACAGCTGCAGGCAAAGCCATAATCACATAAAAATAAATTTGAAAAAATAAAAATGAGAAAAGTCAAGGCAGATTACTTGAGAGTGAATGTGGCTGTGTCTAATCCTTGTATAGACTAAGGAGACACGGGGAGGTTTTGAGCTGGGCAGTGAAATTGGAGCTATGCTTCTAGGGAGTTTTTCAGAGGCTTTGAAGGGCTTGGCAGATAGATGTGGAAGATGAGTGAGAGGCCCCTGGAACCTCAAGGAAGCAAGGGTAACAAGAAAGGAAGACTAGAGGCAAACCGAAAACAAACCACGAGAACAGAGTTAGTAAGTGTCTATTGGTTGAGGGTGGTAGTTGGAAGAGCTACAGGTCAAAGAAAATCCAAGATTTAAGAACAGAGATAGCTCCAGTGACAGCTTCTTAGTGAAGATGTTTTGCTGTTTAGAATTCAGAGAGGAAAGAGGGCTACAGTTGGAAAGTTGGTGAGGTTTACAACTAAACTTCAGGTGGTTCATTTGGGGTCACATCAATTCAAACTCTGACATGGTCTCATTCTATCTGGGGGACTGTAACAGATTATCTGGGTATGAGGAAGTGAAGGTAATAGTAGCACCTTGGAGTTGTTAAGAAGAAATGAATTAATGTGTTTAGCTTAACATGGCAAATTCTCGATAGACAGCATCTAAATGGCCCTATTATTATGTGTATAGCCAGGGTCTCCCCCAAGCTCCAACAACCAGAACAAGAGGTCGCTAATAGCCCAAATTACGTCTATTCTATCTGTATGACTGAGACTAGGCTAAACTCTTCTCTAGGCCCTTAATCTAGTACAGGTAGCCTATTTCTAGAACTCATCTTGGAAGAAATGGCATGTGCCTTGAGTTGAGTTTTGATGTAATTATGCTTCCTTGTGCACTGGGGATTGTGCTACACTAGGAAACTTTTTTTTTTTCTGAATTGTGTTGTGTTTAAATATGCTTCCAGTAAACTGCCTGGCATCAGATTCTCTAGATGTTTGATCCAATTTGGTGAAGTTAAGCTGAACTGAATTTTCCTTTTCACCTCTTTGTAATTCCCTGCCTTCTGTGACATCTGCAGGGACACCACCTCAGCTCAGGATGTCTTGCTGCAAGCCTAAAACTGAGGTGGGAAGAGAGAGTAAGAAGAGGATAAAACAAGAGGACAAACAAGGGCAGTGAGTTCAGGAACTCTTTAGAGTGGTGTGGCATAGGGGGACACATGCAGAACAAAGCCAGGATTGCAGAAATCCATTCCAGTGACCAAAGAAAAATGTAGAAGATATGGTGTGTGTGCATGCGTGCGTGCGTGCGTGTGTGTGTGTGTGTGTGTGTGTGTGTGTGTGTGTGTGTGTACACATAGGAACCTGCCAACAATGTAGAACAAGATACTACATAGCCGACTGAGACCAACATGACCGACCAAGATGGCTTCACTTTGCTTTATCGTTAACCCTGCAAAGTTTCTAGTTCCCATCATGTATCTGATACCACAACATATCCCAAAACCCTACATAAGAACAGAAAAGGGGAAAAACCAATTTGGAACAAATTCTGGCTCCCCACTTTGACTCAATAATATTTGCCCCACTAGAGTTTTCCCATAAGATGCTATCCTAGACCCTAGGAAGCATGATTCTCTTGAGAAATCCACACCCTTCCCCCCGCCTCTTATTATGTGCATTAATTATACAATATAGCAAGTGCGACTCTCCCTCTTGATTGTGTACTTTTGCCCTGAAATAAAACTTCCTCCCTAGTCCTTCCTTTGTTTCTTCTGAATTCTTTCTCTAAAAGTAACAAGAACTTGGAAACATTGGCCAAAAATCTCAATCTGCTCTGTCTCTCTGTGAGACCTCCCCAGCCTTCATGAGCAATGGAACCGACTATAGCATTTCCTACCAACTCAACAACCCGCTTTATGTCTTTCTTTCTTCTCTTTCCTTTCCTTCCAATTAGGAGTCACAAAAGCCCTAAAGGACAACGGGGAAGCAAACCCAAGATCCTGGGGGATGGGAGTAAGTTGGCTAGAAGGGAGAAAAGCCTAATAAACCTTATAGAGCAATTATTTCTGGTCACAAGTTTTTCCCCCTCATGTGCAAACCTTATTTTAAAAGAAAAAACAAGGAAGGAAAAGTGGCAGTGGAAAGTTCCCTTGGAAGTGATCCCAATGTCTCAAGTGAATATCTTATGTACCCCTTTAGGACCACCTATCTCCTAAGCTTGGAAGGGGACTACAGCCCTACCTGTCTATGCTGATGGCACAGAGGTTCAGGATGCTGGCTGTACACATCATGACATCCAGGGTGACAAAAACATCACAGCAAATGCGGCTGAAATTCCAGACTCCACCTGTCACCTGGGCATTAGAGACAAGAAGGATGTTAGTGTTTCCCCCAGGAAGGAACAATAACCCAATCAAGTCTCTTGCCTTCCTTAGCTGCAAATCATAGAGCCAATGCACCTTCCTGGCTCCTCACGGTGGGTACCATCAGTACCAGAGGACTGACAGGCAAAAAGGGTGTGCCAGGATGTCTGGGATTGATTGCTAAGGAAGGGACAAAATAGTAGAGTGCTATTGCTAGGAGAGATCATCAAGATTAATTAGTGCAGGGATTCTCAGAGTGGCTCACAGTGGGCTTTTCATTAAAGATGTAAATTTCCGAATACCCCATAGACCCAGTGACTCAGAGTCCCCGGATCTGAGCTCATGGACATTCATCTTAAAATAAGCACACCCCAGTTGTACCAAGGTTTTGGCAGTCAAACTTGAGGTTCAATCTCAGGGGTGCTCCTTGTAGTTAAGTGGTATGTGCATAGATACATCTTAGCCCATAGACGCACAGCTGTTAGTAAAAGAGTTTGGGTAGCTGCCCAATATGTGCCTTGTGCCAAAACTGCCTCTCTGAAGCTCTCTGCCCAGTAGAGAGCCCACCATGTGCTCAGGAAATAAGCTAAGAACACATTTTGCATAAAACATGACTCCAAAACAAAAATCTCTGTGACTTTAGGGTGTAAAATTTGGAAACATAGTAAGACACCTATGAGAACAAGACTAATCAGTGTGACTGCCTTTGATCCACAACCCTGTGTCCCAACTACTAGGAAGTGGGAGAAGGTGAGGATCAGGGGCGAGCAGGAATGGCCCTCAACTAGGTGAGGTTCTCTGTGACCTGCTGCCTGTGCACGTGGAGTCAACCTCCATAGCTCCTAAGACTAACACAGAGAGCATGAGGATTAAGGCTAATCAATTCATATGGGAACATATTTCTATTTTATTTTTGCATGTTCATATATCCTAGTTAAATAAGCAAGATTTATCAGGGACAATGCTATGTTTTGAATGTCCATACATTGCCACTTTTAGGCTCTGAGGTGTGTGGGTTGCCATTCTGGAGGATCATGGCCCTCAGTGAGAGTTTGTGCCACTGGCTGTTGGTACATTTTTGATGTCTCTTCTGAGCAGGCTTGATGGTTATGTAAGAGAAGGGATGGGAACAAATAGCTCCAACAGATGTTGGTGACTGAGTAAAGGAGGTGCTGTCCTCTGTCTGGCCCTCATCTGAGATCCTTTTGATACTTCTCTGTCATGCCAGTAAAGTAAGACCTGAAGGGTCCATCCTCCTTCCCCAATAACTTCTGGAGTTTATTTTCCTCTCAGCCTCCCATTTAATCTCTATATTTGGTCATCTTCAGGCTATTTTGAGAAGCGCTGTCCAAAAATGCTTTGTTTAAAAGCAACCATGAAAAGTTAAAACAAGTGAAGTAATCATATTTGTTCACTTGGTTCTGGGTTTACTTTCTTTTAGTTAGACCACTTGGCTCTGTATAAATAAAGGCCTAACATGAATTTATAGGGATGCTGAGAACGGAAATCTTCTTAGAGGGGGAGTTTATAGATTTTGATCAACAAAGTCATCACATAGTGATGCAAGAGAGGCAGGAGTGAAAGATGATTTTGATTACATAAGACAATTGAATGGTACAAAAACTACCCACCTCCCAACTGAATTTTGTGTTCCTAATTTAATTCAGCATATGTCTACCATGCAACTGGAGTTTTGACTTGGGGAAAACCTACTTTTTTTCCCCTTCGTATAACTAAGTGAGTGAGTATGTGTGTCTGTGTGTTGTAGGAAGTTTAAAGGAGAGGATAGTTAAGACTTCACTCAACCTGAGTGCTTTCTGAGGTTCATTCACTCATTTTTTCACTCATGTATTTACCCAACAAGCACTTGGGAAGCTGTGCTAGCTCACAAAAGAAAGGCATAGAATGTTTGTTAAAAGATTTTGCAAAACATACTGCAGGGTATATCCTTGAAGACTTATGTGAAACTGGAGAGAGAAGGCATTATTTATTATTTTTATTATTGCTATCATTATGTGTATGTGTTCATGATGTAGATTGGCATGCATGCCAAGGCATGAGTGTACAAGTCAGACAAAAACTTAGTGGAGTCAGTTTCTCACCTTTCACTTTTATGTGGGTTCCAGGGATTGAACGTGAGTTGCCAGGCTTATGCAGCAAACACCTTTACTGATGAGCCATTTCACCATGCCTATACAAGGCATTCTTGAATACACTAACTAGAGATCAGTATGAGTGCCTAGTACAGTTAATACAAACTAACACTTACTGAAAATTTCTCCTACATGTATCACTTATCCACTTACCTTCTACAACTTTGAAAGTTCAGATTTTTGAAAGCTGATTTCGTTTTTTTTTTTTTTTTACTGTATGTACTATTATAGCTTTTTGAGGAGTGTATAATTTGATAGGAGATTAAATCACTGTTACTTAACCAACTCGATAATGGCAGAGATATTTACTTGCTCACTGCTGCTCTGGGGCTCCTAGAGCAGGGGTTAGGCATGCAAATACCTCTGTCAAGATTGAGTGGTCTCTGACATACTAAAAGCCATTTATTGAATGCTTGCTAAGTGCCTGGTGTCCTGCAAAGCAGCCTTCTAGTGCTGATTATAATCCCCTGGGGAAGACCGTGAAGCCGAAGGTACCTGCCCAAGCCCTGTCTAAAAGGTCCCTCAAGCTCTTTGGCCTCTACTCTGTTGTTTGACTTTAGTGAAGTAGAAAACTGGGATTATTGAGAGGCGGAATGTCACAGGTGCATGTAGGAAAATACCCATTTATTTCTTTAAAAACATATTTATTTCATGTGTCTGAGTGTTTGCCTGCTTGTACATATGTACACTGCATGTGTGTGATGCTCACGGAGGCCAGAAGAGGGCATTGGATCCTCTGGGACTGAGTTACAGATGGTTGTGGGCCACCTTCTGGGTGCTAAGAACTGAACCTGGATCTGTTGGAAGAACAGCCAGTGATCTTAACTGCTGAGCCCCCCAACCCCAGTTCCCTTGCTTTTACTTTTAACCATTGTCTCTTGGCTGAAAATTCTCAAGACTATTGGATAAACCTCTTGGAATGTGTTGCTAAAGTCAGCAGACATCCAGTGTCCACAAACCCTAGAGACAAAAATGTTCTAACTTCACATCTGAAACTATAGAAGAGGTCTTCCTCCTTCATAGCTCACCTGGCTCATGTCCCAATCAAAGTTATTTCTCCCACATATTGTTTTTGACTTTCTCTCTTCTCTGGCTATAGAAGTTCATGCCACTCTTTCTACAGCACAAATCAAATCCAAGTTCTGGGGACAAGGTCACTCATATTTGCCTCAGAATAAAGGATTTTTATTATTTTCTTTAAAGCCAAGTTGTTATTTTTGCATTGATGGAACTATTAATAACTTCATTACACAGGAAGCAGTCTTAGGGAGGTCAAGCCCACTGTCAAAGGTCACACGGTTGGGAGAGGCAGATGGGACATTGGGTGCAGACATGCAGAGTTGCTATAGACTAGAGAATCACATAGAGAGGAGCAGCTCATGGGCAGGAATGAAGTGCTTTCCAAAGAAAAAGGAAAAGCAGGTGAGGCTTTTGTCTGGGGAATGGGCACCTTTCTGACTGCCCCATCCCAGGGTTGCAAAATAGCAGTGGAAAAGACACCAGGGTGGGGTGGGGTGATGGCTGCCGATGGGGACCTGGGTGGAAGGACACAGTGCTTCTTGTTGAACTCACAAGCTGCTTCCCTTTGGAGTGAGGCTCCCATTCTGTCTTTCTGTTTCCCTTTTCCAGAACCTGCCATCAGAAACCCCATTTTCTCCTTGATCTCAGCCAAATGCCAAGAAGAAAACAACCTGATTAGCTGATTGAAGTGATTCCCACTAAGATGCCATCACTTAACTTTTCTGGGAGCTCACTCATTAAAATAAGCCTGTAGCTGTAGGACACACACACACACACACACACACACACACACACACACACAATATATATATATACATATGTATATATATATATATCTCACATGTGAATGTTTATACTACAGTCGCCCACACCACGTAAATAACAGTAAAGGATGAAAATCAATAGTGCTAAAACCATGATAAGTAAGCAACTCACATCATTTCAGAACAACTCAGGTAACTATGCCCAGTTCATAGGTAAATGGAGACTTGGGCGGGTATTTACTTTAGAACACACAGCTAGCTAAAAGAGCTAGACTTTTAACCTCTTCCTGGCAACAGTGACTATTCTTGTCCTCAAAGACGCTCACTTTGGCACAGCACTTCCAAGAAGCACACAGTTCAATTCTATCCTACCAGCATTAGAGGGAAGAGGCTTAGCTTTGTCTACCCATGTACCCAGGAGGCCACTGGTTTATTGACAGCTTACAGGCTTGATAGGTGGCATGGAGGGGTGTGTTGAAATGAACTTAACCTGGTTGTGTCCCCCAGGGTCTTTGAAGATAGTGCCTATATAAGTTGGGAGTGTAATGTGTGGATGGGTGTGGAGGAGTTGAGGACCTAAACCAGAGATCCTAAGAAAATAATGAATGCAATGTGGTAAATGTTGACAGAGAGATAAATACAAAGTGCTGAGAGATCATAAAAGGCGAAGTCATTTTTGAAATTAAAGCAGAATTTTTAAAAATCTGATTGATTTAGGGCTCTTTAGAGATTTTTTTTCACCTAAATTCTGATGAATAACTCACTTCTGAATTATAGGCAGCCAGGTGGTGTTACTCTCACTTGCTAATGAACATAGCTAATTCCCTGTGGCATACAGAGGGTGGGGAAGCAAGATCGCGTCTTCAGGTTCTGAAGTTGGCTATTGATTTCCAGCAGACACAGTGTAAGGCAGCATTTCCCAAACTTACTGATTATAAGTGGCAGTGCCCAAATCACCTAAGGCTCCTGTTAAGCTAATGACTCACAGGCCCCACTCCAAATAATGAGTCTCTTAAGTGATTTTAACAGCCTGGGAGGATCCGAAGGATTGGTC